AGGTAACCTTTAACCTTCTTTGGGGTACTATATTAACATAATCCCTCTATAAACCCAGAAGGTTAACCTTTATTTTCCTAGGATACTGGACAGGTAAGTCCAGAACAGCAACCCAGTAAAACCCTGAACCCTAAACCCTAAACCCAGTAAAACCCTGAACTGCAGGCCAAGGCCACCCCAGAGGGCGGCGGCGGCGCTCTGGATAAGGACCGCGTGAAAATCTTCAAGTTGTTCTACATGCCATTAGTAGTTATACGGTTTAGGGTTCAGGAGCTGGTTGTAAGGGAGATGCATACATGTGTATATAATACATATATATATATATACACATATGTGTGTATACATATATATATACATATATATATATATACATATATTTTTGGGGGGGGATCGATTGGGGTGGCGAGGTGAGGAAGATGGATTACGGCTGGGGCTCTCGCAAGAAAAGGGCATTTCTACTTGGAAGGCAGCATATTTCTAGCCTAAATACTATTACAGTATTACAGTTTGAAGCCAAGAAAACCACACTATGGGAGTGATGGGGACCTAGACCCTAAACCTTAAAACCCTAAACCCTAAAACCCTAAAACCCAACCCTAAGCCCTAAACCCAGTTCAAATATACCCAGGTTCTATGTACCCTCAACCTGGGTTTCCGAGCTGGGTAGCTCAGTGATAGAAGGGGGGGTTTATTGCAAACCATAGACCATTCCCACTCACAGTAACTGTCCTTTAAAGGGCGGGTTTTAGGGTTTAGGGTCTAGGGTTTATGGAGTAACTGTCCTTAAAGGGTTTTGTTAAGGGGCTGTTAATATGGTTCCTATTATTTCTTGTGGTAACTGTTACTGAAAGGCGAATGACGGAAGGTTTAGGCAACAGTGCTGGGAGTTGGGCGTGTTTCATACTGAGGGAAGTGAGCATTGAAGGTTTCGGTTGACTGGGCTCAATAGCTTTTTTGGTGCCTGCATACTTTTGTCCGTGCATTTAGAAGTCCCCGCTGATGGAAACATAGGTTTAATTATGTGGCCTTTGGACCAGGAAGCCACAGCCCGCGTGAATTCAACCATCGAAGTCTGAGGTTTCAGAATCCTACTCCGTTTAGTATTGTATGATTGTCCTACCCCCGGGCATGAGCCGAGATGAAAGCAGGAGTGTTTTTTGCTACGGTCTCTTCCTCAGGATCTTAGTAGTCCAGTATGTAACCTTTAATTTTTTTGGGGGGACTATATTACTATAATCCCTATATAGACCCAAAAGGTTAACCTTTATTCTCCTAGGATACTGGACAGGTAAGGGATACCCCTTAAAAAATGCTTAGGCAGGCCCCTGTCGCATTCTCTCCCCCCGCCTAGCCGATTGTGTCCCCCAAAACCCTAACCCAGACCCCCTAAAGGATCCAAAAAATGGAACTCCCCCAATATGAACCCATTACTACATTGGGGAAACTAGGGGATTCTTAGGCGGGTCCATTTTTTGGATCCCTAAACCCTAAACCCTAAAGGCCCTAAAACCCTAAACCCTAGTGGTTCCATTTTTTGGATCCTCTAGGGGGTCTGGGAAGCTTCTAAACCCTACTCCCTAAGGAAATCCTCTGAGAAGCTTTGATTTGGGGTTTAGGGGCTAGGGTTTAGGGTTCAGGGTTTAGGGCTCAGAACCCTTGAGCCTTCAACCTCTGAACCTGAATCCCCGATTGTGGCACCCTCTCCCAGCAAAAATCCAAAGCTTTACACCATCTCACACAAGCTCATCGTCTTAGCAGCCGCAAGGCGTCCTGAAAATATGGTTTCCAAAAGTTCGAATGCTGTAATTCTGCACTCCCCAATAAAACCCCTGAACCCCAAAAACCCGAAACCCCAAACCCTAAAACCGTAATCCCAAAACCTTCTGCAGTAGCTTCCATTTTCTTTTCCAGAATCCCTGTATAACCCCAAGATATTCCCTATTATAGTAGTTTCCATGTTCTGGAGTCTCTAAACCCTAAACCCAGTTTCCACGTTCTGGGGCAGATGCGAGCCTTCTAATTCAACTCCAGAACATCCCGTTAAACCCCTCAATGGCTTCACACCATCCTGAAGAGAGAAATTTGACCTGTTGTCTGAACTTTTACTAAAGGGGGGTTTACGGTCTAGTGTAAGGGAGTATTATAGGGGAGTATGATAGGGTTTAAGGGTTTAAACGCCTTAAAAGGGTGGTTATATAGAGGATTGCATCGGGGAATACTATAGATGATAGTAAGGGGGAGACTACGAGTTTAGCCTTTGGCTTATTTTGGCGTTCAAGGTTTTTTGCGTAGAGTTGAGGGCCAGCGGTTTAGGGCGCAGAGTTGAAGGTTTACAGTTTAAATAGCAGTTGAGGGGTTTAGCGCGCAGGGTTTAGCCATTTAGGAGTTTGAAGTTTAGGCACTTGTATTTTACTATGGATTTTGGCTGCAGCAGGGTTAAGTTTCAGTCAACCTGACACCGAGCTTTCTTACATCAACTTTGACCCCTAATTCTAAACCCCTTTGCACTACATAGCTCCTATAATTAAACCTTCATAATCCCTTAACAGGAGCCCAAGACTAAGGGCCCCTTGACTAAATGGGTGGTTGTCAAAATTATGGTCCCTTTTTGGGTCCCGATTATAGTACGGCACCTAATATTTAGGGTACCCAAAAAAGGGCCATATTTTTGATAACCACCCAAATCTTAAACCAGCCGAAAGACTGCAGGACCTGATTAAAGTGGCGACTGGCCTCGAGACATCAAGCGAGGAGGCCAAGAAGTCCGTTGCAGGCACCTTCTTGGGGCGGAGGGTAGGGTAAGGGTTTAGGGTTTAGGGTTTAGGGGATCAATGTTAGGGATACTTTATACTTTTTGGGGTATGGGATTCCCTATAGTTATGTAAAAAGGATCTGAATTTCTTCCTAGGGTAATGTGGGCTAAGCTAGGGTAGGGGTTGAGCGGGTGGGGGTTCAGGGTTTCAGGGCTTGGGGTTTGGGAGGGGTTACTGGGTTTCGTCAGGGTGTCAGGGATTTGTGTTGGGGGCTAGTTCATGTAGGGGTCTAGAAACTTGGCGTAATTTATTTAGAAGCCCAAAAGACTAGAACAGTGTAGAATCAAGTTGGGAATGGAATGGAAACTGGGCATTTGTAGAGATTTCTAGGGTGCTCCGCCTGCGCAAAGGCGCGTCGTGCTGGAGTGAGATTTGGCTGAGAGCGCAGTGGCAGTGTTAGATAGGATTCTGGCAATGCCGGCAGATGAAGTCTGGAGGCCAGCGAGAGGCTGCGCAGAGCGTCCAGCTGGCTTTTGACGAGGCCGTGCGCCAGAACTTTGCAGTAATATGAAGATGGAGTTCAAATGCTGTTTGATCTGGGGCAAGTGGCCTTGCGAGTGAAGACAAGCAATGGCCTTTGGGACTTGCGCATCCGCAACAGGCGCATAATGTTCCCACGGCCGCCTGCCTTCCTCGGCCTGACCACCGCAGACTACCGAGTGCAGCTCGGAATGGCTGAGTGGGCGGATGAGCTGGAGTTCAGCCTGGCAGACGTGCAGTATGATATCGGTGAGGCCGACATCGTGGCAGCTACTGTGCCTGGCGGAACTGTGGTGAAGTGAGTGGCCCTCCCCTAAAGCCCCTCTCCGACACCTCATGAGACTGACCACACAAGATGGGAAGTAGCCGCTTTGGATTCAGGGATAGCATATAGGGGCCCGAAGAATTTGGAGAATGGTTTCAGGCACGTTCCAGCATCATTATTCAAGGGTTGTCTGGGGATGATATTTGTATTTATTCAGGCTTCTACAGCAGGGCGGGTATACGTGGAATTAATGCGGGATCAGGGTCGGGGGAACTCGCTCTAGCGTTCCGGGATCGAGGTTTAGGGTCTGGGGCGTCTTATTTGAGGTTAGGGGTTGGGTTTGGGTTCATTGTTCAGGCATAGGGGCCGAGGGATGAGGGATCAGATGTATTGTTGCGGGAGTTTCTCAAACTGTGCCTTGTGCAGAGGCACCAGGGATCCGCATGCTTCTTTGTAATCTCCTTATATCCTGTGCCTTAAGCCTTATTTAGATATGTGTATATTTATGTGTGTGTGTATATATATATATATTATATCTATCCTTGGGATCTCCAAGGGCCTAAGGGTACCGCTATTTTGAGAAACTGCTCCATTTCGAAGGTTTGGGCTGTAGGTAGACAATTCCCCCTTGTTTTTGTTGTTACTCGCCATTGCTCATGTCTTTAGCATGACCTCATCAGTAGAACGGTTTCGCTTGTGTTGTGGGAGTTGCCTTGGCATTCTCGGCTTAAACCCTAAACTTTAAACCCTAAACCATAAACTGACCCTGGAGATGTGTGTCTGCGATTAGTCACCTTCCATAAGTATGAGAGGACTGTATCATATGTAATCTTGTGTATCCCCTAGGGTCCAAGGACCCAAGATAAACCCTAAACCCTATACCTCTACCAAAAGTATGCAAAATAATGGCCTTTATGGCTGTTATTATGGGTTTAGGGCTATTCTTTTACATCCTTTTGGGGTTTAGGTAAACCTTATACCCCTGCACCCTGAAATCCTGGCCCTTAAAACGCAGGATGCATGGCTCTCGTCGAAGGCAACGTGAACATGATGCGGAACCTTGGCTGATGAACGCAGTGTTTTGCGGCTCTTGCTGTTCTGTGCTGCCGTGAAGGAATCTCAAGTCAGTTTATGTAGTCAGTGTATGTAAAAACCTAAAGAGGCCCTTAAGGTAATATAGCGGCCTAAATCATGAACGAGAATGGAGACTTGGATGCCACAAGAACATGGAAATTCAGCGGCCGCTAATAGGGGCTTCTACTCATACTTTTATGATGGCCCCGGATTCCCTGTGTAAGTATGGTATAGGTTAGGTGGACCCCTCACCCTGTAATGGTGGCTATAAGGGATAATCAGGACTATATTAGGGTCCTCTTATATTCCTATTATACCACTATTACAGGGTGGGGGGTCCTCCTAAGGTATAGGGCTGAGGGTTGAGGGTTTAGGGTTTGGGGTACCTCAAGATCTCAAGGGGATATTGGCAATTTGTCAGGTTCCCAGGGATCTGAAAATTAGAACCCCCAGAAGACCATGGGGAAGTATATAGGGATTATGTAGGGGTTATTATGGCTTCATATAGGGGATCTAATTTTTAGATCCTCTCAGGGGTCTGGGACTGGAAAAGCAAATGAAACCGACCCTGGAAGCTGAAATAGCAACTGGCGATAAAGAGAGGCTATACACAGGGCCTAAACACACAGCCTTAGCCCTAAACCATGAAGGAATTCAAGTCAAGTTGCCAAAAGATTGGTATATGCATGCATGCATGCATGCATGGATGGATGGATGGATGGATGGATGGATGGATGGATGGATGGATGTATGGATGTATG